ACCCAATTCTCAGTCCTGCCTGGCTGCTAGATCAATCCCCAAAGCCTCTCCCCCAGGCTTCAGCGCTCTAAGGTCCCAAGACATTATCATGTCCATTCACTTGACCCTGAGGCACATTCAGCTGGAACAGAGGGAGAGAGGCCGGCAGTCACTGCTGTGGGACTTAGGATTTTTTTTTTTTGACCCTAAACCAAAACGAGCACCTAACCCTTGCAGCTCAGGGGGAGTCCCACTGCCAGGGTTCATTTTGGTCATGCCCAGAGGTCTTCTTTAACTGATGCAATGTTGTTTCCAACCACTAGAGGGCATCTACATAAATAACATTGCACTCTGCTCCTATTCTGCTTGCAGATTTCAGCACCACTGACTCCGCTCCCAAACAGAATATGGCATCTATGGGAAGATTCTATTGTCTATAATAATAATAATAAATGAGTGATTTTATATAGAGACATGGCCTGAAAAGATGCCTATGGTAATACTGCAAGTATGCTAACTTACAGGCACAAAGAGGGGAATGTATCAAATCTGGAGCAGCTGTGCATGACAACCAGTCAGCTTCCCTTTCATTTTTTAATCTTAACTGAACTGGGGAGAAGCTGATGTGGTTGCCATGGGCAACTGCTCCAGATTGTCTGCTCCAGTTTTGATAAACTGCCCTCAGTGTTGCTGCAAGGACCTGTATTAAGCTTCAGATTGATCCGTTACTTTGAAGCCCCTTGGATAAGGTCTAGGCTTCAGACATGAACCCTACTTGTAGATTATATGCTGCCCCTTCCGGTGCCACCTCGTGTCGTTCAGCTGTCACATGAGTATCTACTGCCCACCGATGCTCTCCTAATTACAGGTACCTCGAGGTATCGGCACTTAAAGTGAATCTCAAGACTGCTCTTGAAACACCCATGTACATGTGTAATGCTTAATATCCAATATCGCATTTAGGCTGATCTGCACTGCAGCCAGAACATTCAGGAGTACCTACCTAACAGAGCAAGAGGATTAGGAGTAGTTTTCACCAATCAACTCCATTATATTTTAAAGACCTCTTATACCGGTCCCTGGAGCATCTCTCCCCCTCCACTGCAACGAGCTAAGCCCCCAGTCATCACTTTCTATACACTGTGTATAGGACGTGAGGGACATTCCATCACTACAGTGAAGGAGACCGCCTGGGGAGCACTGTAACAGTCGGCCAGCTCTGATTGGGCAAGTAGAACTTATTTTTGACCTAAACAAAAAACAGAGCACTTAATGCTTGCAGTGTGGTTATGAAACAGCTTGCCCAGAGTTCTGGAGTGTCTAAATTCTAGAAAAACTGGGTGGAAGTTGTTGATCTATGCAACTTAAATGGAGACATTTACCCCCAGCCTGTTTAGGGGCTCCTTGATGGAGAACTGCCATCATGAACTTCAGCAGCCTGCATTGTGAGATGTCTGCAGGTTGGGCCCTGCTGCTTGGACAGACAGAAGCCAAGACTGCCATTTTCTGTAACCAGTAATACGGCATCAGTGAAGGACTGCCTAATCATTTTCTTGTTGAGCTTTTCTGTTTAAAACCAGATTGCAACTGTGTCAAGTCATTTCCTGTTATATGGCTTGCATGGTCTATCTAAACACTTGGCATTGACACTCACCTGTGGCTCCTATGCCGCACATCAAGAATGCCCGATAATGTATAGCGCACGTGCACCCACAGGACCGCATGTGTACATCTTTATAGCACCCAAAGGTTAATGTGTTGATTCTTCTTCTACATAACCATTTTACACAGATTGTACTGTAAGGTTCTCTAATGTAGATACTTGTGACTGTTCAATATACTATGCTTTGCACTTCATAAATACTGTAATATAGGGACACATTAGAAGCCTAGAGAACACACGATAAACCTGAAAAAGGAAACCTAAAAATGCTAGCGATATTAAAAAAATTAGAACTATGGGGTTGAGGCTTTTCCCCATAGTTCTCCTTAGGGTAACGGGAGGACACAAACTAGCATCCTCCAGTCACCCTAGGCTCAGTATCGCGGTATACTGACATGCTGAAGCGGATCCTGACAATTATGTCTGGATCCGCCAAGCGTGAGTGACAGCTGGCTCTGCCTATCTAGAGGCAGAGCCAGCTGTACCCGCCCCCTCCCATTCCGCCAGTCAGCACTGGCGGGGAGGGGAGAATTCAGCCCCTCCCCTGTCACGGCAGAGAGCCGTGACAGGATCGAGAGGTGAGCGAACGCCGGTATGTGTTCGCTCACTTCCCGATCTACTGAGCCCACCTGTGACAGTCTTTGTCACAGGTCGGCTAGAACTATGAGGTGAGTGAAAAGCACTCACCTTACAGTTCTTCTTTAAAGTAAAAATTAAATAAAGACTTCACATGCATTCCTGTATAATCAGCTGGTCCTCGATATACCAATAAAAATATCTATAGAAACGAACTGCGTCAAAAAGCAAGCCAACAGCTACAAGGCACTGGAATTTAAACCCACTGCGAGTGTGTATACTAGAAAAATGAATAACTAAAAAGCTGTGACTCAAATGTCAGTGAATAAATAGTAAATGGATCAGATGGGAAGTCTGTAAATATCCTCATAAACAGCAATACTCATGAATATTTATTGTTCCTTCAACTATAGGGTTGCTCCTTATTGATAGACCCCACAAAAGGTCAAGTCAGGCAACTCCCTTAACCAGGGGAGTTGCTATACCATTATACAGTTTTAGGGTGGCTCCTTTCCCTTGCAGGGTCCTATGGAGCCACCCTTGTGTGCACTAGTAAACAGTGTGCGTCTCCACAAACACAGCAAGGCAAGCCAATCCTCTGCTCCCCAATCCCCCATCCTCTTCCGTTCACTAAGCTACTAGATGGACAACTGCTGAAGACTGCTCTGTCCCTTGCGATTTTGTACTGGACAGGAAAGTTCAGGGAAGGCAAGCTGAGAGATGAAGCCATTTGGAAACATGACTAAATGCATTGGGGTGTAAAGAAATACTTTGCTTAATACTACTCTAAGATGAACACAAATCAGTTGCACATGAGATTAAATAATGTACAAAAAAACTCAAATAGCAAAACATTTAATTTTGTTTTCTGCAACAAAACAAGAAAAAACACCCAACAATTTAACGTTTTCCAGTGAACAGCACAACTTAACAAAAAAGGAACCCGTATAGACAGTTGTGCCTTAATCATCACACACAGAAAAAAATAAAAAAGGTTACATTTGACCCTGCCTGGGTTGGTTTGGTCTTGAAGACCACGCAATTAGCGGCCACTATAATAAAGGCACATGTACACGCAATCAAGTATTTTCCAAGGCATTGCATTTATAAATCTATATATAAATTTATATACTCAGCATGAGAGATGTGAATCCTAACACACCTCCCAGTGCTGAAACTGTAAACAATGTGTCACCCATCTACCCCCTTAAAGCCCAACACCAGCCAAAGCTTTTTTTTTTTTGGATAGAGTGGAGACTGATTCAATATGCCAGGTTTTAATGTTTTGTGTCCCCAAATGGAGATTTACCGACAGGTTTTAAAGACCGATTCAGCTTTGTTCAAATCTGCAAAATACAGTCCAGGTTCCTCTTAAAGCAGTGTCTTACCGTTTACCCGAGTAAAAAAAGCCTGTCCCCTGCCAGTATTGTCCAGAGATGGACCCATGCCGAGCCAGACCTACTCTAGCTCCTTGATAGAGCTCTAGCTCAGCAGGGAACATGTCTCACCACTGCTTCTACACAGATCTAGGGGGTTCTTCTCTACAGCATGCTGGCAGGGAACAGGCTTTTCTACTCAAGCTGTGGCTGCTTTCTAAAACAAAAAACTAATACTTTGAACTTCTATTTTGATGCACCTGGAATGTATTCAGCCAAATTAAACTGAAGGTTTGGATGGGCTTTAAATGCTGTCTGTGTCCCTGTTAACACAATTGTATCCACAAAGAAAGACAACCCACTTCTGGGTATGTCAGAAGCATGGTCCCCCTTGTGTGCCTGCATCCTCCTGCCTGCCCCTACGTTACCATGTCCAGTAGTAATGTATGGGCTGGCAGGTTGAACTACAATGCACAATGGGGGACACAGGCAGCCAACACTCCTAGAAGCCCACAGTGAAACGTGAACAGTTGCCAGGATACAGGGTGCTTTTTTCAGCATAGTGACACTGTCCCATTAAAAAGATTTCCCTTCACTAGTCCATACAATACCCATCTGTACAGAAAGTGAGAAAATCTAATTAACAGGAGAGGAGGGGAAAAAAAAAAAAAAAAAAAGTTTGAGCTGGTGTTGGGCTTTAAAACGAGGGTTAAGAGAAACTGCAGCATTTCCAGGGTTAATACAATCACCACTAGCATATAGGCGACCAATTTCCCTTCATAAAGAATAATCTGTAAATGTCACTTCTGGCTACAAAAGTGGATGCAAGTGAAAAAGAATTCTATAAATACACAGCTTATTTTGCTTCAAGAAGACCCTACCCAATACAGTTTTACAAATAAACATAAATAGATTCTGTAACAGATTAAGTAGTTCACAGAAATAAGGGGGGGGGGGGGGGGAAAAAAAAAAAAAAAAAAAAAAAAAAACAACCCCGCGCTTTTTTTG